GAAAAAAGAACCAACGCAGAACGGGATAGAACAAAACTGCTTATGTTATTCAGTCAAAAATCATGTGTAGTTGGGTTTTTTCTTGAACCATAAGTAAAGAAAGATGTGCAGGAGACAAAAAACATAATGAAAATTAGAGAAAAAACTCGGTCCTCAACTGTTTTAAATTCCGTAGTGTTGAATCAGCGAAGTCGAAAACAAAGAACATCGTAATTTTGTCTTTCCCTTCTGTTCACCCTTTTTGTATTTGCGCTCGTGTGCGTCTGTGTCTGTGTGTGTTCGTGTTTTTTCTTTCTCAATGTTTTTGGGTCAATAAGAAATTGATACCGATTGTTGTTCGTAGAATTTTTGCACTTTTTCTCTTAAGCAATTTCAAAAACCAAATTGTTCGAATTCTCTTTCTTCCCCCTCTCTGTTCCTTCAATTCGCCAATCCCACCGAACAACCAACTATTCAAGCAAATTAAATCATCTCCAAATAGCTGTTTAACCAACTACCTTTCATTAAACCATCAGCTTCTTCTAAAATTTTTTTCTTTTTGTTCTCACTTTTTTTAACAACGCAGTAATAGACAACCATCCCTTGTCTATAATCCGAAAACAAACAAAAAAATGCTAAACGTAAAATAATAGGCAATGATGCGAATAAGAAAGAAAAAGAAAATTTCTTTTAACATTTAAAAATTTTTATCTTTTTTCTTCTCCACAATAAAATTTGTCTGTCACAAGATCAATAAGCGCAGTAAGTCTATCTACAGAGAAACAGAACGCAGTGAAAAATATAATGGTAATGGTGATGGCGATGATGTTGATGATGACAACGATGACGATGATTATGAAAACTATGCAGATTTTGACCGTCTGAAACGGCCAACCGACAAAACTAACTTCCTCTAAAACACCACCAACTTACAATCATACTTATGTATATAGATATTCACGTAAATACAAGAACATGGATGTATTTAAAACTGCGGAAACTGTTGGCAAACGACATCTCTATTATGCTGACCTGTTATGGTCGTCAACGTGGTGCTGGTGGCGGTGATGGTAGCCGTCACCGTTGCCGTCGTCGTCGTCGTCGCAGAAATGACGACTTTTTGATTTTAAGCGCCTCACTAAACAGAGCTGTAAAGAAAATTCGGTCGCCGGTGATCACATTGCCGACAGCCCCTGACTCCCTCCCCTCATCGTCCGTTCTCTTCATTTTTGCTTACCCGTTCTCCCAACCATGATCCAAGCCTCCCCTCTTCTCTTTCCCCTTTCGTCCCCCTCCCCCTTTTTTAACCCTCTCTTTCGCCTATCAATGTGGTCCAATCTGCACTGCCATCATCATTCCATTGCCAGTCAATCCTCCCCTAAGTACCCTCGGCTGTCGTTCGTTGTGTTTTGGAATGTAAAATTCTGTCTTTGTTTTTGTCGTTGAATTTGGCGTATTTTTTAGGATGGAGGTGGGTGTATATTGCTGCGTAATATTAAGATCTTGTGTTAGGTGTTCGAGCTGTTTAAATCCTTGGATAGCTAAAAATATTACAATTCTTTTTCAGTCCGCCAATTAATCGTACTCTTGTGATCTACAACTGGCGGAACCAACAAAATTATAGCAATACGCTCACCGTCTTCACTGGTACCAACATCAGCAACAATAGAAACAACAGCAGGAGCGGTAAGAGCAACTAACCGTTCGAAAAATGTCGTTTCGTCCGAACGGAAACGGGTGCGTTATTTTTTTTTTGTTTTCGAAAACTTTCCCATATTTTATCAGCTTTATCGTACTTTTGAACTATTTAGTTTACTTTTCCATTCTTCATAAAAGTCTGCGCATTTTATGCATTCCTAAGCGCCATTTTTATCGGATAGACCGTGACAGCAGTTTAGAAAAGCCTACCATTATTAAGCTTATTATTATTATTATTATTATTATTATTATTATTATTATCAATGATATTATAATAACAGTAATACCAATAACTAATACCCTATTATTATTATTATTGTTCCTATTATTATCATTATACTGTTGTTATTGTTATTGTTGTTATTATTGATATTATTATTCATTGTTGTTGTTACTATTATTATCGCTAGCATTATTACTTGCATATTAACAGTATGAGCATTATAATAACTATTAATATTATTGTACCTATCGTCATTGTTTTAACACTATTCACTACTTTGATATTTAAGGAAATTATGTAGTTTTTAAGCCAACATAAGATATTTTTGAAGATTTTATCAAGTTGGGTTAGGTTCAGTTCGTCTATCACTTATCGCTCTTCTTTTTTGTCAATTTTTCCATTCTTCTGTTTAAACTCTTTCTTCCTTTCGGTGGCTAGCATTTTGAAGTGAGTTGTCGAAGGATTTGTTCGTCATTTACCGTATGAAACGAATTTAGTTTTTTTTTCCCTCCCTTTTTTTTATGTTTTAGAGCTGTTTCTCCACTCTCCGTTTTCTCTCTCAATGTCACATTTAACTTACAGGGCAGTACCAACTCGTTGTTTTATCGCAATATTAGCTCATTTTGAAATCAGTATTATCATTTATTGATACTTTTTGACACCTGATCAAAACACTATATTTCAAGCCTTTTGCTAAGTTTGCTGATGTCTGTTTCGTAATTCAACTAGTTTTCTTTTTAAGATTTACACTTAAAACCACTGTCTTACTGCTATCACTTAAGCTGTAAGATCCGAACTTTGCAATTTCTCTGACTTTTTTTTTTGCCTTTTTTCCAAATGCTGTCACTTTTGCTTGCCCTTATCCCCTGTCCTTAACAGCATTCCTTATCATACGCGCGACACAGCAAATCTGCAGTAAGTAAGCTTTTTTCTATCTGTCATTCAAATGTGGCTCAATAGTTTTGTTAAAATGGTTATCGGCAATTCAGTGTTTTTCATTATAACTTCCTTTAGAAGAGTCGGCTTTTCGTTCGTTATTTTTGTAAGAGGATATAAGGCAGAAAAGAACTTTGTATAGTTCTTCTCTGTTATGTGCTGCCTACGGTAGGAATTAGTTATGAGACTAAAAATTTGTTTTAGAAATTAGATATGAGACTTTAAAATTTGTTTTCTTTTCTTTCTTGTTTAGTTCAGTTTCCATGATTTGATTTCCCTGTCCATCCAAATCCAAATTCTCCCACTTTGTCAATTCACAGTGACATAAAAACAGAACAGAAGGGGGCTGATAGGACAAGTTGGGAGAAAATGGGCAGAAGTGAATAGGTACAGAAAATGACAAGGCCATCGTTGAATTGGACGGACATTGTTTACCCTATGATGTTAACTGTCTTGTAGATTAATCTCGGGCGTCGTTTAATGCAATGTATGGCTTTTTCACGTTCTAATGTTAAGAGCGATTTGCGATACATGACGCGGATAT